AATGCCAAAGATTCTCAATTGGGAATTCCTGGGTTGCTAGAGTGCAACTATGTCCTATTGAAGTCAATTGGGACCCCTGTGGCAGTTGGTGTATCTCATGCCATATGTTTGGTTTCCAGGTCATGTTGTTCACATGGTCTACTATCGAAAGGTTTTCTCAACTCATATAGACACAACAAACAGTATGTATTGTTTAACAACTCAACACAGAGGTAACAGATGTAAATCTGAGGATAGGAGTTCTTTAGATTACTAAAATATTGCAAAGCATTTAGGAGGTGAATTCAGATTGCTGCTATTTAGTCAATAAGTGGAGCTTCACCTTGACAATGGCTGACTCTAACTGCTTTTGTTTGATTCTCTTTATGTTAATTATCTGGAAGACTAGAGAATTTTGACATTATAAGCTCTTGTCAAATGCAAGTTACCTTCCAATCTCATGTAATGCCTGTTGTCCATCTCATTGTATGCATCATCTCATACATATTGTTTATCGACATTTCTTGTTGTTGAAAGTTTATGCAAACTGACCACTTTTTCCTTTCAATGTTGATCATATTGTTGGCTTCAATTTGATATCGGCATGAGAAAGATCTGCGATGAAATTTTATTAAGAAAGCGTGCAAATAATTTGCGCGCTCGGTGCATTTGATATCCTGTTATGAATATCATTTGGTTTTGTTGTATGATCTTTGATGCTCTGGTACTATGGACAACATTATAAAGTGATAAATTTAAAGTTGGATATTTTTTCGGAAAATATAGAATATCACAAGATATCATGTATTGTTTGATAAACTGAATATCTATGTATTTGCATAATGATTGTGTATTCATTAATGTGGTATACCGTGGTAACATAGATTTTTTCGTTTTGATAACATAAGACTTTTTTTTTGTTCTTGATGAAGTTGAAGGGTAGAACTCGCCTCAATTTGTTAGATCTCGTGGAAGTTAAGCCAGCTAAATAAACTCTCACATTACTGGAGAACATCAATTCACACAAAAATTATTGATTTAAACTTTTTTCTCCTTATCTTGTTCAACTAAAGTTATAAGTATCGAGATTTTTTTATACACAACTCACATATACAGCATGATCCCCCTTGAAGTAAATATTTATGCCATAATTTTTTATACAGATGGCGTGATATGACTCGTTCTAAGTGTTTTCAACCAACTATTCTTACAAAACTCTATGATACAATCAAGAAAGCTTTAAAGCAAGAAAAATAAACCAAAATGATTTATCACCAGAAAAACCAGAACAAAAATTAAGAAAGCTGAGCTAGTGTTTATCCCTTCACCAGAATCAGTCATCTGGTTCCAACTATTGAGTTTGCAAAGCAGTTTGTTGGATCGAGATGGTCGACTCTTCATCCAGTTCTTGTAATCATGAAAACAATTGATGTTCTTGTGCTTGATTGGATAAATATCAGGAGAAGAGAGTTGAGAGTTGTGTGCACATATTCACCACGTTGTTGTGTTCACTAACGTGTTTTTAGCCTGATAATACAATGGCTCTATCATTAAAAATGAAGTTTGCAGGGGTTACGGTGGTTTTGGTGCACTTGGACATTCTGTCTATCATAGAGAGTTGTTTCCTAGATTGGTGGAAGGTTCTTGGAATGGGAAAATACGGCACATTGTAACCAGTGGGACACATACGGCTGCAAATCTGCAATAATTGAATCAGGTTGATCTTCTTAACTGACCCTGTTTTTTGTATGGAAATTCCTTTACATGTATATAATATTGGGTTTGCATTGTAGATATAAGCTGCTTAGCCTGGACTAAATTTATATGAGTTTTGATTTGTGACCTTTGGAAACAGCCCTCTTGAACTCATAATGTGGAAAACATATCAATCTAGTACTGTAGAACAAATTGAATGGAACATATTTCGAATGTCTGTAGGTTTATGTATTTCAAATAGATATATGTAGAAGTGATGAAGAGACTTCTACATATATCTATTTGTTGTCGAATTTTAGAATATTACCTCCGCACATAAAAAATGAAGAGCTTGATTCCAATTCTGATCCAACAAAATAAAGAAAAGAACACTGAAACTTAGAAACATCCTCATCATTTCTAATCAAGTAATTGAATTTATCATTCTACACATTGAATTTGTGTGAAGAGGCTCCAACATAAATGTACTTGTGATTAATTATATTTCTTTTGATGGTTTTTCAGTTGGCTCCACCGAATCCAATGAAATTACTCTGTTTGAAGGGAAGCAAAAACATGTAATTATAAACTTTGTACTTCACCTCTTCAGTACTTCTGTTCCGCTGCTACAATCTTTTCAATATCTACTGCTTCATTTTACTCCTGCTTCAAATTCTCTATTACTCATCTTCTACTACTGCTGTAACTTCTTCTTTACCTTCAATAATTACTTGCCCTTTCAAATACTGAGAGGATGGTATAACAGTAAGTTTACTTCTTAAAAACTCAAAACTGTCTTGCTAGTTGCCACCAATGGTTTTGTGAAAATGTCAACATTTTGCGCTTCACTTTGAAGAGGCAGGGGCAGTGAAAGGGAAAGGGCTGGCAGAAAAGTGGTGGGCGGTGGTGGTGGCGATGGCAGAAGAGGAACAAAGGAAGCCATGGATGGATGAGTTTGTTTTGTTGGCAGTTTAAGGCTTTGGTTTTCTGTTATCCTTTCAAATTCCTCAAAAGGCTTTACAATCAACAAAAAGTGCTCATAAATCACTTGCAGAATCTAATATCCCAATAAGGTTCATCAATCTTCTTCTTCTTGTAGACTTTTCTCCTTCAAAAGATGCTCATAAATCTGTAATTCAACTTTAATTCTTGAAACAAACTCTTGAACCAAGTTAATTTGTTGCTGACTGAGCCAAAGCTCTATATTTTGCCTTAGTGGATGATAGGGCCATTACTTTTCTGTTTTCTACAACTCCATTGCACTAAGTTTTATTGTAGATTAAGGCATTAAACTCAGCTTGGATAGCATATTTCCAAGCTGGGGATGAGAGAGGCTTGTAAAACAGAACTAGGTTCTTGTACTGAAAAAAGAGAATTAGGAGATACAACCCTAGCAACTACCATATGTGATTGAGACTTCTTAGATTTTTAAGATGTAAAGACTAATTTTGTAAAGCTACAGTGTTGGGACTAGAAGGAATTTTAAAGGGAATCTGATCTTTTTTTTTTTTTTTTTTTTTAAATCAAAGGCAGATTAAGTGTGAATAGGATTAGAAGTTTAGTAAACTTCTAAGTTGATAGTGGAAAATGAATCTTGTGAGGAGACAGATTGAGGAGATAAAGAATCAAACTTAGACTTTAAGGACGAGAAAATATTTTTAGAATAGGATTGTATGAGATAAAGAGAAGACTGACAGTGTGATTTAGTGTGGTCACTAGGAACAGTAATTTTTATGCTAGGACTTGAAGAAAAATTAGTACAATGTTTAGAAGACTGATTAGACTTAGTAAACTTTAAATCAAAATCTATTAAACAATGAGGAAAACCAAGTAGAAGACGTATTGAGATATTCAAACTTAAAACTATATACTTGAGGAGAATTGTGAGATAGGATATTATGAATAAAAGGAAAATCAGACTCATCAGACTTAACACTTTGAGCTATATACACTTTTCCATTTGCATTTAAGCACTTGTAACCCTTATGAACAAGATTATAACCTACAAATACACATTTAGAAATATGAAAATTAAATTTGTCTGCACTATAAGGCCTGGGGAAAGGGTAACAAGTGCAACCAAATGCTTTTAAAAGTTTATAGTTGGGCACAATGTTAAAAAGTGTTTGAAAATGCGAGATATTGGTTTACACAAAAAAAGGAAACTTACTTATTAAGAATACAACAGTTTGAAAATCTAAATTCCAGTAAGCTAATGGCATGGAAGCTTGTTAGACCCTATTTTACAATATGCTTATGATTTCTCTCAGCTTCGCCATTTTTTGTTGAGTATGTGGGCAAGGGTGCCTAAATATAATGTTATGCTCGTTTATGTAAGGTAAAAGTGTTTTAAACTCCCCACCGCAATCAGTTTAAAGGCATTTCAATTTGGTTTCAAATGGTCTTACTACTAACTTATGAAATTGAAGAAACACAGGCTTTGTTTTAGCTTCATTTTAGGAGGGAAAAGCCAGTGGGTCTGCCAAAGTCATGTATGTAGTATTTATAACATTCAACGGACACTTGTGGAGAGGGGGCTCAAAGTTTAGAATGAATTAGTTCAAGAGGCTTGGAAGCTCCACTTGAAGATTAGATTGTGCAATCTGTGAGGTTTTGGAACAATCGAAAAAATGAAAGAGAATTCAAGAATATTGCAAAGCTATTTCTTTGATTCCTTGATTGATTACAGCTGGGCACTTCACCAATGTTTTATATGTGTACAGTAGAGTAAGTTGAAGACTAAAGTAAAGAGAAGCAGTTGACTTGGGCTAACGACTTAAAACACACTAGTAAAAAACGACAGCGTATAAAGTANCATAAATGTACTTGTGATTAATTATATTTCTTTTGATGGTTTTTCAGTTGGCTCCACCGAATCCAATGAAGATTACTCTGTTTGAAGGGAAGCAAAAAACATGTAATTATAAACTTTGTACTTCACCTCTTCAGAACTTTTGTTCTGCTGCTACAATCTTTTCAATATCTACTGCTTCATTTTACTCCTGCTTCAAATTCTCTATTACTCATCTTCTACTATTGCTATAACTTCTTCTTTACCTTCAATTTGGTTTCAAATTGTCTTTCTATTAACTTATGAAATTGAAGAAACACAGACTTTGTTTTAGCTTCATTAGGGAAAAGCCAGTGGGTCTGCTAAAGTCATGAATGAAGTATTTATAACATTCAATGGACACTTGTGGAGCGGGGCCTCAAAGTTTAGAATGAATTAGTTCAAGAGGCTTGGAAGCTCCACTTGAAGAATATGGAAAAATAGATTGTGCAATCTGTGGGGTTTTGGAACAATTCAAGAATATTGCAAAGCTATTTCTTTGATTTCTTGATTGATTACAGCTGGGCACTTCATCAATGTTTTATATGTGTACAGTAGAGTAAGTCGAAGACTAAAGTAAAGAGAAGCAGTTGACTTGGGCTAACTACTTAAAACACACTAGTAAAAAACGACAGCGTATTAAGTATCACTTTAAGTAAGTGAAGGATAGTTGTGACATTTTACTTCTTTCAGCTTCCAGCATTTGTCTTTCATAGTCAACATCCCTCCTCAAGCTAAACTGCCCTGCAGTTTGAGCTTGTAAAAAAAAACTTTGACTCGGCAATAAAAAAATCCCATCACTCTGCAGTAAAATGAATTGAAACTCCAACTTCACTACACTTCAGATCATATTTGCAGTAGATCTCAACTTCACTGCATTTCAGATCACATCTTCATAACCTTCAGTGTGTCAATCTGAACTGTTAATCCTCAACTACTACACAAACTCAAGATAGGAACTTCACTTCAGTAAACCAGCAGTACCAGCTTCAGTTTATCAACAGCTCAATTCTCAGGTTAAACTCAGCTTCAATATGCCAACATCAACAATAGCAAATATTCACACAACTTTCACTTCAATTTTAATCTCAGCTGCTAACCACAAACTCATTCAACTACTACAAAACTCAAAAAAAAACAAAAAAAAAAAAAAACAACTTCACTTCAGTATACTAACAGCAACACTTCAAGAACTCACCTCAGTATCTACAGCAACAACTTCAGAACTTCACCTCAGTATCTAACAGCAACAACTTCAATTGAAGCTACTGGTCACAACTCCAAAACAGACTATTCATGCAACTTCAATTGTGGAGAAGGGCCTCAAAGCTTAGAATGAATTAGTTCAAGGCTTGGAAGCTCCACTAGAAGAATATGGAGAATAAGATTGTGCAATCTACCAAATTGACATTAAGCAAAATGCAAAGACTTAACAAGGTTTATTACATTTAATTGTGCAAACACAGTGCTCAAAACTTGTCATTGGGGAGTCCAAGTCTCTTATGTCATAGCATTGCTTTTAACTTGTCAGCACAAAGCTTGACAGATAAAAACATAGTTTATGATAGAACAATTAAGTGCAGATGACATACATGAGCTGTATGAAAACAACTTTAAGCTCCCATTGTAAAACACTATCTTGGTGACTTTGTCCTTGATCATATAATGATCAGCAAGGAATTCAACTACAAAATTATTATCCTTGATGTACCAAACTGTTCTCTGATGTAGCTGGAGTAGTTTTGCATAATTATTAGAAACATTGTGAGTAGACAAAGAGGCTTGAATTGAGAATATAACCTTGAGCTGGAGAAACTTGATGTGAAATCATAGTGGTGAGACATTGCATGCTTGAACACCTATTAGGTTGAGAGAACTGCAGTATGGCTTGACTACCACATGGTAAATAGGCTTGTTTCTATTAGCCTCTACCATAATTCTCCTCCTGAAAACTGATTAGACTGAAAGTGCTGAGATATTAAGGAACAAAATTCACATGCTGAGCTACAAGAGGTGAGAGAGAGGTAGGATTAAAGTATTGAAATTGGGAGTTTGCTGAGGCACTAAGACTATGGAACAGGAATTATAGCAGCAACACTAACACCTTTATGACCAAAACTAGGACATAGTCCGCATCAATGGAACCTTGATGATTAACAACATTATCATTTGATTTCTGGTTCTTATTCTAACCAAACTTATAATTGACATTTACTGCTAAACTAACCAAATTTGCCAAATCTCCATTGAAGTCTAAACAATGGCAGCTGATAGCAAACCATTATTCTTTTCTAATTTTAACTCATACTTTTGTAACAAATATTCTGCCTTTTGCAATGATATACTTCCAATTCTAGAAGTAACGTTAACTAACACAACAATGAACTCAGGAATATATTAACTGTGACAAAATTGGAGTCTCATATCTTAGTAATCATGAATTACGAAGATATACTTTTGTAACAAATATTATGCCTTTTGATGAAAATAACAGCTACTAACTAAAAGTAAATAAATAAAAAGAAAATATATTAACTGTGACAAAATTGGAGTCTCATATCTTAGTAATCATGAATTACTAATATATACTTTTGTAACAAATATTATGCCTTTTTATGAAAATAACAGCTACTAACCAAAAGTAAATAAATAAAAAGAAAATATATTAACTGTGACAAAATTGGAGTCTCATATCTTAGTAATCATGAATTATAGAAGAAAGATTAAACATGAAAGCGGTATCCATTTAAAAATGCATCAATTATTAAGCCTCTTCAGATGTTTCTTCAAACATGTAGCCTGTCGCACATCATAAAAACCAAATCTCAGCAACCACAATAACATTGACATATTATTAAAAATGAGTGAGAAAATATGTCAACGGATTCTTAGAATTCACAACAAAATGCGATAGCGTAGGAAACAATAAAAAAAAGAGATCATAATACATCACCTCAAGCCCAACACAGAAGGGCAATTCTGCTTCTTTATCCATCTTATCAGTTGATGAATCTTTATTGTCCAAGTATACTGAGTAACCAACACATCCATACTTGAAATCCTTAAGAGTACAATCCTCTTTTGAGCTTCCAACTTAGTTTCTCCCACAACATACCTGGGGATTGGTCATACACCTTAAAATCAGGGAAATTTTTCTGAGTTTCAATAAATAAAACCCTTAATCAGAATGAAACAGGCACTAAACTTCAAAACATAATTCTTAAAGATTAGATAGGAAGAAGACACTAGTATGTGCATGCTCAAACACAAATATGTGTATAGAAACAAAAAATCGAAAGAAGCCAAGAAGTTAAACAGCATTAGCGTCGTATGGACATCGAGTCTAAACATTAGGCAGCAATTCATAGCAACAATTACAAACACTTGAAGCACCAATACAGCAAACAGAGGTACAGTTAGTCCCCAATAAATTAGATTATTTAGCACAGTTAACCAAACTCACAGCTTAAATACTCCCCAGCCTTCTCCACCATCACAGCTTCAACACAATCTTCCCCACAACTATCCTGAACACATTAATAATGAACAACCCAGTTTAATCTTTACACTTTATTCTGTTATATATCACCAGCGAGACTAACAATAAGAATTTAAACAATAAAAAAAATACCATAGTTGCATTGTTGTTCTCAACGTTGTTGGTGTTGTTCTGGTTGTGGTTATCTTCACTGCCCTTATCTTCTTCAAAACCAAGCTTTTCATCCATTTTTGAGTCATTTGATACTTCTAAATCAACTATTGCAGAGAGAAATAGAACTCAAATAAATACACAGAAATATAACATTAGACAGACAGTCAAGTCTTAATTGAAAAGAGCAAGAATGTATGGTCCAGAAATATACGTCTAAATCAACAGATTTGAGGACAGAATCTGGTATTTTGACTGGCTCCTCCCTCCTCTGTGGATCTTTTGTTCTGAATGTGCATGTAGACCACTCACTGTACATTCCTTTGCAAGTATATCTTTTACCTTCAAATTCCAATTTACTATTGCAAATTGGGCATCTCCCTAACGATCCATAAAACAGCATGTCTTGGCTGTTTCAATAAAATAAATTCGGCAATAATGTTCTGCAATCTTCATCCTCCTGTAGACTTTTCTCCTTCAAAGATGCTCATAATCTGTAATTCAACTTTAATTCTTGAAACAAACTCTTGAACCAAGTTATTTGTTGCTGACTGAGCCAAAGCTCTATATTTTGCCTAGTGGATGATAGAGCCATTACTTTTCTGTTTTCTACAACTCCATTGCACTAAGTTTTATTGTAGATTAATGCTAACTCAGCTTGGATAGCATATTTCCAAGCTGGGTGATGAGAGAGGCTGTAAACAGAACTAGTTCTTGTACTGAAAAAAGAGAATTAGAAGATACAACCATAGCAACTACCATATGTGATTGAGACTTCTTAGATTTTTAAGATGTAAAGACTAATTTTGTAAAGCTACAGTGTTGGACTAGAAGAATTTTTAAAGGAATCTGATCTTTTTTTTTTTTTTTTTAAATCAAAGGCAGATTAAGTGTGAATAGGATTAGAAGTTTAGTAAACTTCTAGTTGATAGTGGAAAATGAATCTTGTGAGGAGACAGATTGAGAGATAAAGAATCAACTTAGACTTTAAGGACGAGAAAATATTTTTAGAAGATTGTTAGATAAAGAGAAGACTGACGGTGATTTAGTGTGGTCACTAGGACATATTTTATGCTAGGACTTGAAGAAAAATTAGTACAATGTTAGAAGACTGATTAGACTTGTAAAAATCAAAATCTATTAACAATGAGGAAAACCAGTAAAGACGTATTGAGATATTCAAACTTAAACTATATACTTGAGGAGAATTGTGAATAGGATATTATGAATAAAGGAAATCAGACTCATACAGACTTACACTTTGAGCTATATACACTTTTCCATTGCATTTAAGCACTTGTAACCCTTATGAATCAGATTATAACCTACAAATACACATTTAGAATATGAAAATTAAATTTGTGTGCACTATAAGGCCTGGGAAAGGGTAACAAGTGCAACCAATGTTTTTAAAAGTTTATAGTTTGGGCACAATGTTAAAAAGTGTTTGAAAAGGCGAGATATTGGTTTACACAAAAAAGGAAACCTACTTATAAGAATACAACAGTTTGAAATCTAATTCCAGTAACTAATGGCATGGAAGCTTGTTAGACCCTATTTTCAATATGCTATGATTTCTCTCAGCTTCTCATTTTTTGTTGAGTATGTGGGCAAGGGTGCCTAAATATAATGTTCTCGTTTATGTAAGGTAAAGTGTTTTAAACTCCCCACCGCAATCAGTTTAAAGCGCATTTCAATTTGGTTTCAAATGTGCTTCTACTAACTTATGAAATTGAAGAAACACAGGCTTTGTTTTAGCTTCATTTTAGAGGAAAAGCCAGTGGTCTCCAAGTCATGTATTAGTATTATAACATTCAATGGACACTTGTGAGGGGGCTCAAGTTTAGAATGAATTAGTTCAAGAGGCTTGGAAGCTCCACTGAGATTAGATTGTGCAATCTGTGAGTTTTGGAACAATCGAAAAAATGAAGAGAATTCAAGAATATTGCAAAGCTATTTCTTTGATTCCTTGATTGATTACAGCTGGGCACTTCACCAATGTTTTATATGTGTCAGTAGAGTAAGTTGAAGACTAAAGTAAGAGAAGCAGTTGACTTGGGCTAACGACTTAAAACACACTAGCAAAAAACGACAGCGTATAAAGTACCATTTAAGTAAGTGAAGGATATTTTGTGACATTTACTTCTTTCAGCTTCCAGCATTTGTCTTTCACAGTCAACATCCCTCCTCAAGCTAAACTTTTGACTTTTGACTCGGCAATAAAAAAAATTTTTAATCCCTTACTACTACACAACTCAAGATAGGAACTCATCATCTTCAGACTCACCAGTACCAGCTTCAGTTTAATCAACACTCCCCTTTCTACTACCACTCAATGAAGGAACTTCACTTCAGTAAACCAAACAGTACCAGCTTCAGTTTATCACAGCTCAAGTCAGCTTCAATATGCCAACATCAACAATAGCAAATTATCACAACTTTCACTTCAATTTTAATCTCAGCTGCTAACCACAAACTCAATTTCAACTACTACACAAACTAAAAAAAAAAAAAAAAACTTCACTTCAGTACTACAACAGCACAACTTCAAGAACTTCACCTCAGTATCCTAACAGCAACAACTTCAATTGAAGCTACTGGTCACAACTCCAATTAACAGACTATTCATGCACACTTCAATTGTGGAGAAGGGCCTCAAAGCTTAGAATGATAGTTGCAAGAGGCTTGGAAACTCCACAGAAGAATATAGAAATAGATTGTGCAATCTACCAAATTGACATGCTAAGCAAAATCGCAAAGACTTAACAAGGTTTTTATGCATTTAATTGTGCAAACACAGTGCTCAAAACTTGTTCATTGGGGATGTCCAAGTCTCTTATGTCATAGCATTGCTTTTAACTTGTCAGTCACAAAGCTTGACGATAAAAACATAAGTTTACTGATAGAACAATTAAGTGCAGATGACATACATAGGAGCTGTATTGAACAACTTAAGCTCCCATTGTAACAACACTATCTTGGTGACTTTGTCCTTGTCATATAATGATCAGCAAGGAATTCAACTACCAATTATTATCCTTGATGTACCAAACTGATTCTCTGATGTAGCTGGAGTGTTGTGTGCATAATTATTAGAAACATTGTGAGTAGACAAAGAGGCTTGAATTGAGGAATTATAACCTTGAGCTGGAGAAACTTGATGTGAAATCATAGCTGGTGAGACATTGCATGCTTGAACAACCATATTAGGTTGAGAGAACTGCAGTATGGCTTGACTTACCACATGTAAATAGGCTTGTTTTCTATTAGCCTCTACCATAATCTCTTCCTCCTGAAAACTGATTAGACTGAAAGTGCTGAGAATATTAAGGAACAAAATTCACATGCTGAGCTACAAGAGGTAGAGAGAGAGTGGATTAAAGTATTGAAATTGGGAGTTTGCTGAGGCACTAAGTACTATGGAACAGAATTATAGTCAGCAACACTAACACCTTTTGACCAAAACTAGGACTATGAGTCTCGCATCAATGGCCACCTTGATTTTAACCCAAACATTGTATTGAGTTTGCAAAGCAGCTGTTGGATCGAGATGGTCGACTCTCAATCACAGTTCTTGTAATCATGAAAACAATTGATGTTCTTGTGCTTGATTGGATAAATATTAGGAGAAGAGAGTTGAGAGTTGTGTGCACATATTCACCACGTTGTTGTGTTCACTAACGTGTTTTTAGCCTGATAATACGATGGCTCTATCATTAAAAATGAAGTTTGCAGGGGTTATGGTGGTTTTGGTGCACTTGGACATTCTGTCTATCATAGAGAGTTGTTTCTAGATTGGTGGAAGGTTCTTGGAGCGGGAAAATACGGCATATTGCAACTAGTGGGATACATATGGCTGCAAATCTGCAATAACTGAATCAGGTTGTTCTTCTTAACTGACCCTGTTTTTTGTATGGAAATTCCTTTACATTTATATAGTATTGGGTTTGCATTGTAGATATAAGCTGCTTAGCCTGGACTATATTTATATGAGTTTTGATTTGTGACCTTTGGAAACAGCCCTCTTGAACTCATAATGTGGAAAACATATCAATCTAGTACTGCAGAACAAATTGAATGGAACATATTTCAAATGTCTGTAGGTTTATGTATTTCAAATAGATATATGTAGAAGTGATGAAGAGACTTCTACATATATCTATTTGTTGTCAAATTTTTGAAGATTACCTCCGTACATAAAAAATGAAGAGCTTTATTCCAATTCTGATCCAGTAGAATGAAGAAAAGAACACTGAAACTTAGAAACATCCTCATCATTTCTAATCAAGTAATTGAATTTATTATTCTACACATTGAATTTGTTTGAATAGGCTCCAACATAAATGTACTTGTGATTAATTATATTTCCTTTGACGGTTTTTCAGTTGGCTCCACCGAATCCAATGAAGATTACTCTGTTTGAAGGGAAGCAAAAACATGTAATTATAAAATTTGTACTTCACCTCTTCAGTACTTTTGTTCTGCTGCTTCAATCTTTTCAATATCTACTGCTTCATTTTACTCCTGCTTCAAATTCTCTATTACTCATCTTCTACTACTGCTGTAACTTCTTCTTTACCTTCAATAATTACTTGCCCTTTCAAATACTGAGGGGATGGTATAACAATAAGTTTACTTCTTAAAAACTCAAAACTGTCCTGCCAGTTGCCACCAATGGTTTTGTGAAAATGTCAACATTTTGCGCTTCACTTTGAAGAGGCAGGGGCAGTGAAAGGGAAAGGGCTGGGAGAAAAGTGGTGGGCGGTGGTGGTGGCAATGGCAGAAGAGGAACAGAGGAGGCCATGGATGGATGAGTTTGTTCTGTTGGTAGTTTAAGGCTTTGGTTTTCTGTTATCCTTTCAAATTCCTCAAAAGGCTTTACAATCAACAAAAAGTGCTCATAAATCACTTGCGGAATCTAATATCCCAATAAGGTTCAT